TCCCCTCACCCCACCCCACCCCACCACGCTGCCAAAAATCGCGATTCGCGTGTGTCAAGGGACCATTCATTGTACCATTAGCCTGCGCCGCGCGCGCCCGCCTGAAAAAAGTGAAAGGGAGGGTCGAGGAGACGGTGGGAAGGGATGTAGAAAAGTGGTGGGTTTTCTACGGAATCAGGCGCCTCGCCCCGTCCCCCGTGCTGCCCGCACTCTGTCCCCCTCCCCGGGTCCACTCGCCCTAGTTGACGTACGAATTACTTCATTCCCAGGAATTATTATGACTTCATTAATTCTGTGAAAGCAGCATTTTGTTGGCTTCTACTGTATTTGTTTTCTGTTTTATGGAAATGGCATTACCATCAATATGACGTGTTTTTTTTTTTTTTTAACCGAGCCTTGGTGAGCATTATAAAGTATAAAAGAGGACAATAACAACAAGCGTCACCAAGAATGACAAGTTGCCAGGGGGTCGTCTAGAAAGTGTCCGTTTTCCTCGGATTCATTGGACATGTTACGGGAGCTTGCTTGGCGCCTGCGAGACTCTGGGTAGGCCATCCCGCGCGACACGAACGCACTGCATGCTGGATGTTGCCTACCTATGCGGCGCTATGAGAGCCTACAAAGGCTGAGCACGGCGAACGACGGACGTACTTTTTGGACGATTCCAGCTGTTACACTTTAAATTAACACACCAGATGGCCAATATGCGGGCTATAGTCGTCCCACGATTACTTCACTGTTCGGGTTTTCGCCGACGAGGCTTCTGATTGGCTTACGTAGTGGTTCACGTGACCTTTTCCGAACAGTGAAGTAATACATAGTGGGACGAGTATATACCGCTCTGCGCCATGGTCAGAGATGGTCACTCTTAGTTCCTTACAAAGAGTGGTCTTCATATTATGAAGAATTGGGTTAGTAACGTACAAAGGATCTGGAACCGCCATATTACAAACGGATTTTCTTCGTATTACAAAGAGCGCCAGTTTCCTAACAGACACGTGCTCTTCGTATTACAAAGCCAAACCATTTGTAATACAAAAGATTTGATGGTATTACAAAGGTGTCGAATCCTTTGTACGTTACGAAGAGCTGTTCTTTGTAAGAAACTTACAGTGGTAGGTTGATCCCCCATAGTAAACTGTAACTACGAGTGTTGGCGAATTGGTATGTCATTACAATTGTAATGAGCTTAAGCTCAGTCACAGTTGTTTCTCTTCAGTTGTTAAACATACATTTAAAAAATAAAAACTGTGGGCGAAGCTGCTAAGTGAAACGATAACTTCCTGCCGCTTGTATTAGTCGATGCGACGTGCGTTCATTAATTAAATCCTTGCCTCGCACTACCAGAGCCCAAAGACTGGAAACAGCGAGAAACAGTCGAAGGATGAAAACAAATAAATTTACAAATGCTTGCCACTCCCGACATCGTCCTTTTTAATTTGTTTTTTTTTTCCCCCTTGTCGCTCCGTGACCTCTGTCTCTCGGCGCCCCTTTTGCTTTGCGGCGTGCCGGGCCGAGGCCGGGCCGCGCGCCACCGGTTTGAAAAATGAGCGGCGGCGGCGAAGCAGGTTCCTCGCGTCGCGCGCGTCGCGCTCCGGTCGGGACCCTCCCACTCACCCGCTCGCACCCCCCCCCCCTTTTCCTCTTGCTCCCCCTCCCCGAACAGCGCGCCGCGGCCTCCCGGTGGCTAGCCGATCGTTTGGTTCAGCTTTTCTTTTCGCCATGCCGCCCCCCTCTCGCCTCTCTCTCTCTCTCTCTCTCTCCCTCCCTCTCTCTCTCTCTCCCCTCCTCTCTCTCTCTCTCTCTCTCGTTCGCGTGTGGCCACGGGGTGCGCTCGCGACCAGATTGTCCGGCGGCGGCGATTTCTATCTAATTTGAATAGCCTCCTGATTTAACGCAGATTGCAGACGCGACGTGGACGCGGTGGCACCCGCCCGTCTGCCGCGGTCACGAGCACGAGGTCGACCTGCTCTTGGACGTGGACCACACTACCAGGACCAGGCATGCATTCTACACTAAGAATAAAATTTGTACACGCCAAAAACAGATTAGCTGGATACGTGATAGATACACTCTAAATGTCCAAGGACAATTTTTGTAACTAGCACCGGACTTCTGTGTGCATAACTAGCTCAGATACAATATTGTAACTACCGACACACATTTAGTGACTAGCAAGTCACAATATTGTATCTGAATTCAGTTATGCACGCAGAAGTCCGGTGCTAGTTACAAAAATTGTCCTTGACATTTTGAGTGTAGTAAAATTAGCTGTAGCAGCGAACTTTTTCGCCATCCTAAGAACTGACCATGGCGGCCAGAACTAGAAAGTTAGCTGGCCTACACTGCTAAACTAAGTGTTCAACTGTTTAACACTTGTAAGTGTGCAATTTCAAGTTACTACTCACAGGTGTGCAACTGCAAGTTGAATACTTGCAAGTGTGCAATTAGTGCACTCCCACCGAGTTGAACACTTGCAAGTGTGTACAACCATGGGGTTGCACCACATTTGCAAATTTGCAAGTATTTTACTTGCAGTTGCATACTTAAAGTTTTT